CTTACGAGGAAAATATTACCACGCCTTTACGAGGAAAGCTTTCCTCGTAAATTCGCTACAACCTTACGAGGAAAATGTCTTTACGATGAACGTGTTTCGAGGAAACGCGTTTCCTCGTAAGTTCCTAGTAAAAGGCCATTTACTAGGAACTAACGAGGAAAACCCGTCCTAGTAATGGACGAGTTTTCTTGTAGTGTAAATCAGTTTGGTTAAAGAGGGACAAATAATAAATCTAACATGGACTACTGGCCACCGCTAGTATTTCTATCATAAAACTTTCGTATTAGTTTGTTTTAAATCAATTTGGTTTAACTGTGATAAATAATAAACAATTAAAAATAATAAGATTGTACATAGCTAGAAGTTTACAAGTTATTGTATTCTCATATTTTGGTGATTATCACTTCTAAGTATAATATATTTTTATCTCAAATTGTTAGTTCTATTTATTGTATAATTATTTAACTTTTATATAGTAATGCATTTATCTTCGTTTGAATATAGCAATTAAAAACACGTAGTCATTTGATTATATTATCAAATACAAAATAATATGAAGGCCATTAAAAATATAAGTTTTTCCAAGATGAATATAATTTTTATATATTTTAGAACTATTTTTTTGCAAATTTAGCTCTTTAGTTGTTTGATATGTAAGGATGTTTTCTTTTTGTCAACAATGATACTAGTTATTAATCTTGATGAATTTCCTTTAAATGATTTTTTTTTTTTTGTTGTTTGCTTCGGGCAGCTATAAAAGCTTGCACGACTCTGCGTCTAGAAATGACAATGAATTTCAAAACATTTATTTTGTATGTTTTTCATTCAAATTAACAAGATAGTAGTACAAAGATATGACTTTGTTAAGGTCATATAGTTTGAGAAAGTAAGTAAGAGCAAACTAGAAAGAAAAAAAAAGATAGGAAGAAAGTGAGTTTCTAGTTAATCTTAATAATATGGTGCGCCACGGCCATGGTTGCTTCAGCTACATCATTGCATACATAACCGACTCTCTAAAAAAAGGGTAGTTTACGTTTTAGGGCACCAAATAAGTAAGGGTATCAAACTTTCAAACCTTGGTTGTCTTTTCTCATTCGAATCCTTCACTTTTGATGCACATTTTGTTATTTCTTTTTAAACAACATAGTAAGGACGGAACATTGAACTCATTTGGAACATATAGAGGAAGCGATCTAACCATTAATAAAAGCATCAAGTGATCATAAAACCAAGTCTTTCTGTTCGCAAAGATAACAAGAATCTGACTAGTGCTCAAAAAAGGTGCAGCGACAAACATTTTATGATGAGGGTTTTGGCTGGTGAGCTCTTCTTCACCTAAGAAGCAGTAGCTTTAGCAGCTTCTTCAGCAACAGGAGTCTCGAAAGTCTCTCCTGCTACAAGATCAGGGACATCATCGTCATCCTCCTCTTCTTGGATAGTTGCTGGAACATTAGCTCCACCTGGTGCCTGTTTCTGGAACTGCTCTGCTAGCTTCTTCAGGTTGTCCAAGTTATCAGTTCCTGCCACATTATTAGCGCAAAGAGAAAATCAGTTAAACCAAGAGACCATTAGTTTGGAAAAGGAAACACTAAACAATGCGTACCAAGTTGACTGATAATCTGAGGAAGTATGTCTTGCAACTCTGCAGGAAAGATTCAAATTTCGAAATTAGAAAAAACACAAGCCAAGAAGAGTATCGTAACTATGTGAATACACAAACGCTTACTTTTGGTCTGTGGAGTACCGCTCACAGCCCATGTGTTAGCAGCAATAGAAGCTTGAACTGTAATAGCAACATGCAATGACCATTATTTAACCAAATTTCTGAGATTTATAACAAACCTGAAAAAAAGTTTAAAGCTTTACCTTTCGGGTTAAGAAACTGAATCACAACATCATCCTTAAAGATGTTAACTTCTTCGATACCGGGAATAGAGTTAACTCCAACTCTCTTGAGAGTGCTCTGTAGCTTCTTGTCATCGGTCGTGTTCGTCTTGTGAACAGCCTTCTTCTTCCTGAAACGAGAACCACAAAAACATTTCAGCAAACATAACATTGTCTAATGTTGAAAACTGAAGAAGAGACTTTAATATACAAACCTTCTAACTGTGCCTTTACCGCCAGTGCGGACAGTGTTAGCCATCTTCATCAACTTCTCCCTATTCATCTGTTGTAATGAAAACCAAACAACACACAAAGGTTAAACCTTTTAATCCCCAAGACTAAACCATTTATGCATACACATAATAAATCAATGATAAGCAGCAAGAAGAACATAGTTTCGTGTTGTACTATGAACTTTAACTAAAGCTTCAACCTTTTCAAGCGATTGTGGTATTATTCCGTCGATAAACAAAGACAGTACTTTTAACACTTAGTTAAGTTGTCGGAAAGGAGAGGGTACTTAATTACAGTAACACGGATCAATAAAGAAAACAATTGATTGTGTCGGAATGAAGGAGGAGTAGATTAGTGGTGAAAGCGGGATTACCTTGTTATTCGATTTCTAGGGTTCTTTTCCTTCGTCGAAGGGTACAAGAAGAAGATAAGTAAGAGTGAGAGGAGCCGGAGAGATATGCAAGCGGCGGAGGGTTTTGCGCTTAAAGTAAACTATAACTCGTGAGGGTGTTTTATTTAATTTGTGTTTAATGTAAACACATAAACCGATTATTTTATAAAAAAGTATTTTTTATGTTTGGTAATTTATGTTTTGTAATTTATAATATAAATGATTAATACTATTTCTTTATTTGCACATAATCTATATTATAAATTTTATAATATGATGTAATTGTACTATTTATATATTAACATATTGTTTTCTGTTAAAACAATATACTAAAAAATTATTTTTTTGCATTTTTATGTATTATGATTAGTTTTATAATATTTTTTCTTGAAAATTAAATTTGTGAAATTATATATTTGACTAAATTAAATAAGGTGTTACTTTATTTAAAAATTATTTTATATAAAATATACTGTATATTTCAGTTTTTGGTTTTATTTACAGAAATCATTGGCATTAATTAATTTAAATTAATTTTAAATGCGGCAAAATCTATAAATAAAAAAATATTAAAAAGCATTTAATTTATTATGAACTAGTATTATATCCGATGCTATGTGTTAGGAAAGAGAATTAGCATAATGTGTTATTTGCTTTAGGCAAACCAAACTATATTAAAAATGATTAACATTATCCAAATAAAATAGATAACTATATTAACAATTTTCTATCATTTATCAGAAAATAATGGATCCAAAAATATATACGATTCAGAAGTAAAACATTAATATATTTTTAAAAAACACAAAATATTTTATTAAAAGTAATAAACAATACAATGAAAAGTTCAGAAAGTAATAAACATCAGCCAATTGATTTAAAGGTATGTTGGTTTAATATAGTAGATCATTATAAATACTAGATGCATAGTCTCCGTGCAAGCGCGGGGGTTGGATACATTGTTGATGTTTTGTGTAGTTTTATGTATGAGACTTTGCTGTTTTTTTTTTAACATTTGTTTATCTGGCTTATCCATAATAGTGATGAATGAAACATTAGAAGTCACGCAACTTGATTAATCTGATAAAAGAATAAACATCGAATTCATATGGGTTGATATTTTCATATTTTATCTTCGTAGTGTTTCATTCATAGTGTTATTAGTGCTTTCATGTAAAAAAAAAATTTAATGGAGACAAGATAAAAAAGGACATGTGTTTATTAGTGTAATTTTCTTTCTGAAATTATGTTGTATATATATATATATATTTTAATTGTGATGTATATGAGATTTATGGCCGATCTGAATGGTTCGGGGTAAATATTTATTGTTGAAAAAAATGTTTTATTTTATTTGATGATTATAACTGAATTGAAATGATATTGGAGGTTAGAACATGATAACCTTTCCTATAAAAGTATCTAAGATGGTCTTATAAAGTTTCAAATTCTTAAGACATTTTGTATCCTAACAACCAGCATAAAAATTCATTTTGAATCTCCTAAGTTTTTAGGTATCCCGAAAAGCCCAAACTAAAAAAAAGATTACATACAAGTACTGCGCTTCGAACACAGGCACTCGCGGTACCAACTTCTCGTCACCAACTTAAACCACTGGGCCATTTCATCACTCAATCAATAATATTCAATTTTACAAAATCTTATATGTTTTTGTTTTCCCAAATAACACGCACGGGGCACGCAAACTTGCTGACTTGGACACGCTGAGGAGCTTCAAAAGTGTACAATTTAAAAAATAACATGCAAGCACCGCGTTTCGAACCTGAGGACTCGCGGTACCAACTTCTCGTCACCAACTTACACCACTGGGCCATTTCAACACTCATCGATAACATTCAATCTTACAAAATCTTATACGTTTTTGTTTTCTCTAATAACACGCGCGGGACCCGCAAACTTGCTGACGTGGGCTGAGGAGCTTCAAAAGTGTATTATTATTATTCCCTAATAACACGCACGGGGCCCGCAAACTTGCTGACTTGGACACACTGAGGAGTTTCAAAAGTGTACTATTAAAAAAATTACATGCAAGCACCGATTTTCGAATCCGCGCACTCGCGGTACAAACTTCTCGTCTCCAACTTACACCACTGGGCCATTTCATCACTCATCGATAACATTCAATCTTACAAAATCTTATACGTTTTTGTTTTCCCTAATAACACGCGCGGGACCCGCAAATTTGCTGACGTGGACACGTTGAGGAACTTCAAAAGTGTACTATTATTATATAGATTATCATCACAGTTCTATACACACTATTGAAATATATAGATTTTTTTTCTCTAAACGGATTGAACAGTATAGTTTTATTTCAATATTTTGTTTATATATGGTTTTCTTATTGCATATTTAATGAACAAGATAGGTTCAGAAGTATACACACTATTCTTAACTTATTAGTTGACTCTTTTTTTTGATAAATCTTATTAGTTGACTTCGAACAATTTTAAGTTCTCTGTACACTAAACTAGTAGTTGAAAGGAAAAAAATACAAAAAAAAGAGTAACACGTCCAGTTATTAAACTACATAATTCTTGAGAACTTATCAGAACTTACACCTCTAGTGTTGACATTCTGATTAACTTAACGCATAATGTTATCATTAATAATTAAGAGCACTATGTTTCAGAATATAATTTCTCTTACTTTTATGAGTCGATGTTTGTACAAATTGGTTTACTGGTTTGGACCTCAAGTTCTTCTTCTACGTTTTAATGAGAAACCTGGAAGAAATATTGAGAAAACAATAGATGAATAATGGTTATGTCAAATCCATAAAACGAAGAAAGAAAAACAAAGTTACATCTTCTGATAAAAAAAAATGATGATGGATTTTTTTCTCTGGAGAATTTATATAAAGAGCAATTGTTAGATAGACGAAGACGGTGAGTGGTAGAAGTGGGGAGTTAATTTAGGGATAGTGGTAATTGTTGGTTAGGTCTAAGCGTTTTTACCCTTACTTTAATCCCGAATCGAAAAAACTGAAACCAGATTCGAATCGTTATATAAGAATATCCGAATGGGATTTGAGAACTTGGTATTTTGGAGTATGGGTATAACCCGAATCGAATTGAAATCTAAACTTGGATCCGACTATATCCGAAATTAGTGAAATATGTTACTATTTTTATATATGTTAAAGGAATTTAGATGTTTTAGAATATTTTAAATGTTTAAGAAGTACAACTTTCTGCCCTGAACAAGCAAAAACATAACAATTTCGACCAAAAATTATCTTAAATCATTTTATACCTTTGATCTGAATCACCTAAAGTTTTAAAATGAGTTTCGTGTCCGAACTTGAGCGAGGCTTTAGGGATTCATGCCATCATTACAAGGCTTTTGACAGCCCACTGGCCGAGTTTCAATATTTGTCATTTTTCTTTGGTAAACAATATTTGTCATTTGGTACCTATTAAACCGAAAAAAAAACGAAATATTCCGGCTCGCACTTATACGGGACTCCAATATCCAATCCATGCACGTATTTATTCTTACCTACCAAATGATGACCACAAATTTGATTATAATGGTCAAACTGATTAGGTTCAGAGTAGTTGATTTTTGCACCAAAGAGATTATAATTTTCCTTTTTTTTTGGGTCAGCATCAAATTGATTATATTTAGAAACATCAACTCCCTGAACATGTAAATATTAAGCTAATTGAAATCACAAACGGATAATAGATTATATGTTTTATTCAATATGTAATTTTCAAAGGAAAACAGCGAAAGAACACACATAGAGGTCTTATTGTAAGCATAAAGTAAGATCGAGTCTGCTTGGTCCTATCACAAGTCTTACATAGTCTTGGACGAACTCTCAGTAACATTAGCCTTCTTGAACATAACCAAGAACGGGTTAGTGCTTAAAGCCAAACGTCTAACGCCTAATTCATCCACGAATATTCCGACATTCCTGCATCTCGGACGGCCAGAGTCACAAGCCGGAGGACAGAACACAAACTTGTAATTATTTCCTGATTTTTTTATCTGGAAGAAACTCTTCGGTGAGTCTTGTCCGGATCCGTCTGTGTTAGAACCTGCCACCACGAAATACTGCTTCCTCTCCTCATCAAAGTCACCCACTCGCCAATACGTTGATTGGATGCAGATGGTTACTTCAACGTCCATCTCGATGTTAAGGTCTTGTGATTCGGGGACAAACGCAACTCTAGGTCTCCAGTTTGAGAATTTCACGGGAATACCTAGGTCGAACACAGATGATTCCTGTGCGATGTCGAAAGGACATAGCTCCCCACCTCGGCCCTGTAGAGTCACGCCTCCACCTCGGCCGCGGATGACGGGGAGAACATAGTAACTACCGCGGAATATGATGTCACCGTCCATGTCAAGAACCTCACCATAGGTTTTTGTGGCCAAAACTACGGTTAAGGCAAGAACTAAGTAAAACGTAGGATTCATAGTGTTCTTAGAGTTTTTTTTTTGGTGACAATCTGGAATGTTTGGCGAATGAAGAAAACAAGAGTTGATGCGATCTATTTATAAGCACACTGACACCAGTCTAGCCAATGGTGATTAGATGAGGCGGCTTGGATAGTGTGGCTTAGCTTGTGAACTATAAACTCTCCAACTTTTTTGTTATTTAGATTTCAAGCCTACGTACTACACACTGAGAATATATATCTTCCTATTTTCCACACACGTTTCTTTAATTTCTTTATCATTTATCTTTTCTCTAGAAAGTATGAGAAGGGTAATAATTACTATTCTAGTTTGATATCGTAGGGTTTTAATTGTATACCTCTCTAAGAGTACGGTGTTACCCGTTTGAGTCCTTAAAAAACTATTTTTTCTTAATTTTTTATTATTTCTTTTTTATTTTGTTATTTTTTTAAATACTAACCAATTGCGAATCGTCACGTGTTATAAGGATCCACAAATAGTATAAGGATTCGTTAAGAACTTATTTAAGAATCCTTAACTTTTATGAAATCTACTGATTATTTAATTATTTTTTTATAATAATTTTCCTCTAGAAACTCCCGTTGGAGATGTTCTAATAGGCTAATAGCATATATATCTCAACTTTTTGTTCAGAAGAATATTAATGCTTCGTTTGATACTACTAAACTTTTTCTTTTTAGGGTCAACAAATAACTTGTTTTTTTTTATGACGTTCCTTCCAGATATAGAGAAATTGCAAAGATTGCAAACGAAGATTTGTTTATATTTTAAGTGTCTCACAGTTTAATTTAGCTAAACCAACCAAACTGGACACGTATAATTGAAACTTATTCTAATCAATACATGTCATGAGCTTGTCTTTCTCTTGACAAAAATACTCATATATATTGTTTCAATGTCATGTCCTGTCATGTTAGTTTGGAGCATTGTATGTGGATGATATCAGAAATAGAACTTTAGCTATTTTTGGCAACAATATGTTTTGTGGATTTGAATTAAGATAATAATGACGCTAATACCGCACTGCATACCACTAAACAAAAAAAAAATTCTGTCAATAAAACTTTTGATTTTAGAGATTAGAAATAGAATATATATAGTACTTTGATCTCTTTATTGATGATAGAAATGCGAATTACAAACTAGTTGATCGACATAATATAGTACTCCGATCTCTTTTATTGAAGACAGAAATGAGAATTACAAACTGGTTGATCGATTCTTGTAAGTAGAAAGTAAAGACAGAGTCTTGTCCTATCACAAAGTCTCACATAGACATACTCTTGGACGCAATCTCGGTAACATTAGCTTTCTTGAACATAACCAAGAACGGCTCAGACCTTAAAGCCAAACGTCGAACACCGATCTCATCCACAAATATCCCAACGTTCCTGCATTGACGGCCAGAATCACTAGTCTGAGGACAGAACACAAACTTGTAAGCATCATCTCCAGATTTCTTGATCTGGAAGAAACTATTCGGTGAGTCTTGTAGACCAGCCTGAATGAAGTACTGCTTCCTCTCCTCGTCGAACTCTCCGACACGCCAGTATGTTGACTGGAAGCAGATCGTGGCTTCAACGTCCGTCTTGATGTTAAGGTCAACTGATTCTAGAACGAGAGCAATTTTAGGTTTCCAGTTTGAGAATCTCACGGGAATACCTTCGTCGAGCTCAGATGATTCTTGCACGATGTCGTAAGGACATAGCTCCCCACCGCGACCGCGTAGAGTCAAACCACCTCCTCGGCCGCGGACGACAGGGAGAACATAGTAACTGCCAAGGAAGATGATGTCGCCGTCAGTGTCAAGAACCGCACCATATGTGTTTGTAACCAAAACTAGGGTTAAGGCAAGAACGAAGTAAAACGTAGGATTCATAGTGTTGTTTTTGTTTTGATTTGAGTTTATGTGGATGAAGAAAATATGAGTTGATGGAATCTATTTATAAACACACTAGTATAGGCAATGGTGACTCGATAAGACAGCTTTGATTTCTAGAGTATGCTAAACTTAACTTGTGAATTATAAACTCCCAATAGTTATTTGATTTTAAGCATATAGAGTACACACTGAGATAATATATCTTCATATTCTATACACGTTTCTTTTATTTCTTTATTTATTTATTTTTATCAAGGTCGAGTTTTATTTTTCCAACTTTTCTTTAAGAAGTATGAGAACTGAATTTACTATTCTAGTTTGATTTGGTATGGTTTTAATTTTATACGTTTCTAACAGCATATATCTCCAATTTTTTCAAAAAAGATTAAATCGTTGATTTGATTACTTAGCTTTTTCTTTTTTTTGGGGTCAACATTTTACTTTGTTTTTTTATTACGTTTTGTCCAGATATAGAGAAATTGCAAGAAATTCAAACGAAGAATTATTTATATTCTTAAGTGTCTATTAATTGCGGTCCAGTTTGGTTAAACCAACCAAAATGGATACGTAACTGAAACTTTGATTCTAATCCATACATGTCATGAGTTTATCTTTCTCTTGGAGAAATTACTCAGTTTCAGTGTCATGTGCATGTCATGTTAGTTTGGACTTTGAAGTATTGTATAAGGATTATAACATCAGAGATAAAACATGAAATATGTTTTGCAAATTTCAAGTAAGATAACAATAATACATTAAAAATACTTGCACCTATCACTACACAAAAAATTCTCATCAACTTTAGGTTTAAGCTAGAAGCAATAGTTTATAGTACCCCAATCTCTCTCTTTTTTTTTTAAAGCATGCCCCAATCTCCTTTATTGATAATATAAATGTGAATTACAAACTAGTTGATAAAGATTTCATGTCGATCTGATAGATAGACATTATCACAAGCTCGTGTCACTTGTTTTCGATATATTCATAAATCGCTTGAAGAAGAATCCATTGAATAACTCTTCTGTTTACTCTCTTATCACATGAAGAAAAATCCATTGAAAAACTATTCTCTTCATATATATAAAGTCTATTCCTTTCTCGAACTTATCACATGGATAAGAATTATTACAAGAGCACCCGTAATAGTGTTACCCTTAAAGAATTCTTAAATTTTAATTTTATTATTATTATATTTTTCAGATTAAAAAATAAATAAATATCAACCAATCGCGGACTGATACGTATCGTGGGACTCGTAAATAGTGGAAGGATTCACTAAAAAATCAATGCTTATTTAGAGATTTTTATGAAATTAATCCTTAATTTTTTATGGAATCCGCTGATTATTAAATTATTTTTTCTAAAAGATTTTCCTTTAAGTATTCTCCATTGCAGCTGCTCTAAAGCTATCTACATTATTACACTAAACATGAACATTAATTATACTATTTAAATTTACATCTCAATAATTTACGTCCTCATTTATGTCATCACTTTCACTCGATCAAATGTACAACATTTTCTCCCTCAGTCGTACCTCAAGAATAAGTTCCATGCCACACTAATACGGTTATGATAGTAACAGAGTAAGTGGTATCTATAAAAGATTAAGAAACAGATCTATATATAGAAACTCATATGTTTAATTTCCAGCTTATTTGAATCATAAACTAGGAGACTTTTAAAAAAAGAAACAGACGAAAGATGTTATATTCCATATTTGACAAACAAAAGGAAACATAGAGAGAATTTCTTTATTATCAGCCACAGGCTGTAGCTCTCATCTCTTACTTTAGTATATTCTCTTCTCTCACATAGTTATGGCCATGAACTTAGATCCCTCTGTCACATGAGCTTTCTTGAAGATAACCAAGAATGGCTTATTACTTAAAGCCAAACGGCGAACACCCTTCTCATCCACAAAGATCCCAACATCGTGGCAATTGGGACTGCAAACTTTGTGACTACCTGCACAATCACGAGGACAGAACACAAACTTGTAAGCATTATCTCCGGCTTTTACGATCTGGAAGAAACTCCTGAACGAATCTCCTCCAGGCCCTTGTGGCTTCGGACCAGCTGTCACGAACCACTTCTTTCTCTCCTTGTCGTACGTATCGAGCCACCAGTAGGTTGACTGGACGCAGATCGTAGCTGCAATGTCGGTCTCAATGTTGAGGTTTTGTGATTCTGGAACGGACGCAATTTTAGTCATCCAATTTGAGAATTTAACTGGAAGGCCCACGTCGACCTCGGATGATTCTTGCACGATGTCGAGAGGGCAGGGGTTGTTACCGCGACCGGAGAGAGTCACACCACCGCCTTGGCCACGCATGACGGGGAGGACGTAGTAGCTGCCGCGGTATATGATGTCTCCGTCGATGTCAAGGACGGGTGTGTGGGAGTTTGTGGTTGTGGCCAAAACCGCTGTTATGGCAAGAAAGACGTAGAACATAGGTTTCATGTTTTTCGAGTTTGATGTAGTTTTTGTATTGACTTGATTGTCACTGGATGAAGAAAATGTGAGTTTATGTAATCAGTATTTATACACAAAAGTATAGGCTTAGGTTTTGAATATTTTAACTTTAAATTAAGCAATTGAAACACATTGAGATTTCAGAAGATGATTATATATTTTAAGTTTTTTGTATATACTCCACTTCCCTCGCACATTCTTTAATTGTTATTTTTTCGGAAAAATGTTTGTTTGTTTTCTTGTGGAAAATGTTTGTTTGTTTTCTTGTGGGAGGATAAGAGTTACAGCTTGAATTTTGGTTAACAAGAGTGTGTTGACATTTTTTTTTCTCGACAACATAAACGGTTTACAATTCAAATGGCTTTGTAGAAGAATATGTTCACTGTCAGCGTGGCTTGTTAGACCTTAAAACTAATTGGGTCTAAATGCGTTCAATGTTTAAACGTAGAGAGTTCGAAATGATATCCCTAATCCACACACTGAGGACTCTGATCAAAAACAACTATGTATCCGATTACAGCTTTTATTCTTGTTATTGTTTATCTGTTATATCTAGTTTGGTTCGTAATTGAGCACTCTGGTAAAAAGATTGGTTGTTTGATTATCCTTAGTCCACACACTAGCACGTTTATGCGTAACTTGCGGGCATATTATATACAGCTTTTTTTCTATTATTAAAATCTTACATGCACGTTGATTAACGAGTTTAACTTTATAAAATGTCATTCGATCTTTGAGATGTGGCCACTCTTGAGAGGATGTGGATAAGAGCAAGGTTAGGTTCAACAGGTGTCATTTTTCCATCGTGATTTGATCGTGAGATTTAAATAACGGTAGAATTGTTTACTATGATATGTTTAGCTTCATTTTCCTTTTAGGCAATTTCTTTGTTTCTTTGAAGCTTACTCAATATAGACGTGGTTACCTGTGACATCTGCTTTATTTCCGCAATTTCGCATGTTAGGCAATTTCTCATGGTACATGCAAGCCACTTAGTTAGTTAGTTATGTGCTTTATTTCTGCTAAAAATGCATTCGTTATACACGTTTACAAAGTTAAAGTGATTTATATTGTATTACTTCCAAAGCAAAACAAAGTTTTCGGAAACGATTTAGAAAAGAAGAAGAGAGATTAGTATGTGAATTATCACCATCTATGACTATTTAACTTAAATTAGACGTCAACTCTTGCTATTCATATTAAAATTAGAGAGATTTAGCGGAATACCCAAAACGAGAGCCCAAATTAGAGATATATACATGAGTTGACGTAATCGGCCCAACCCATATAATTCAGTCACGAATTGCCGAAAAAACCCCTTCTCTCGCGAGCTGACCTTCGGCGCTTGTGTCAGCAAACTGACACAACTTTCTTCACGCGAAGTCCTACGATACTATTCCTAAACCTACTCTGACAGCTAGGAGGCTTCCCCTCCAATCCTTTTCTCCGTTAATCGTGCTATTAGTTTAGACTCTACAAATTATAGGACATCGAGAATGATGATTGTATGAAATACCAACATAATTTGAAGATAAAAGTCCTAATAGAGTGGAAAACCATTTGTTAACAAGAAGAGAGAAGTTTGTAGGAGTTAAAGGGAGAGAACGAAAGCTGTGATTAAGGGTTACTAGAGGAAAGACTTGATACACAGAAATCGTTGTCACTCGTTGTAGAAGGTAAAAACCAAGAGCGTGTGTAGGTTTGTATCCATCTAGTTGTAAATGTAAAGAAGTTTATTAACGGTTTAAATTGTCGTTAACAGGTACTGGTCTGGAGATGAGTCATCTTGTTCGACTTGTGGTGGGAGACTGGGAAAGAGGTGCTCAAAGTGCATGGAAGTTTAACGTTGACAATACTGTGGTGAAACACGATGTGTTGCTGAAAGAAAACGAAAGCTACATTGATCTTGTGGGGATGGTGAGAGAGAAATACAAGCTACAACAACTTCTCCGACCAACTGAGCCGGTGCTACTTACATATGATTTTCCTAACTTATCCAGAGAGGCTGATGAATACTCGCCCCCACCTGTTGAAATAAAAGAGGATGGGGATGTGGAGTTGTTCATGGCTGTAAGAGTGGACCATGTGTGGCTGGAGATGTATGTCACATTCGGGGAAGAAGGTGTGGACAAGTAGAGGATACAGAGAGAGGAGGAAGATGGTGGTAATGCGGCGCAACATCCACCAGTTGGAGTTGGATTGGTTAGGCTTGAAGGTAAAAATATATATTATCTGCTAAAAATATTATTAACGGGTACTGCATATATTGAGTGCTAATAAAGTTGTTAACTGATAACAGATCTAAGAGCGAGGGGGTACATGGTGGTGTACGAGGAGATACTAAGAGGAATATGCACTCCCAGTGAGGTTGCAATACTTGAGCAAACTTCGTTGGGGTTTGAAGGGTACGAACAAGCTCTCACCAAGAAAATGCCTATCAACATCGACTCATCTGAGGACTCCTCAGATATACCACTAACACAGGCTTGGGAGGTTTTACCTGGAGGGGGAACATCGGGGGCAGAAGGCCCTAGCTTGGGAGGGGAAGAGATGCACTTAGGTAACTTGAGCAAGATTGTGTACTAGCGTTATTGTTATAAGATAAGTTTTTCTAACAACAATCTGGTGAATGCCCGTCTCAGCAATGGCGATAACTGATCAAGGTGAAGTAATGGTGGATAAGGGGAAGGGTGTAATGCTTGAGGATGATACTGCTGCGAAGCGCAGCAGAATGGTAGGAATTGCTGGTAACTCAATGGGAAGGGACTACGGTGCAGAGGAAGCAGTGATGCTAGATGGTATGGGTAAGTAAATGAAAGTTGTGAAATTAAATTGTTAAGCTGCAAATTAAATTGTAGTCGTTAATAAATATTATGTAGGTACAGGATCGGCTACACAGTTAACATTGAACTTAGGTGTTAACGAGAAGAGTTGGAGACCGGAGGATGGTATGAGTTTGATCCGGAACCTTTTACCTGATTTTGCCGATGCTTCTGGCAATAGAGAGAAGTGCTCGATAAAAGAAGACGGTGTGAACCGACAAGCAGGGGACTGTAGCGCTGAAGGTATAACCTGATTTTGGTTTGGATATGTTGTTGGTCTATTGTATTATAATAGAGTTAGCTAATATGAGATTTTTTTGACTGTATAAGCAGATGGAATGGAGTCACTGGCAAATCTACATATTGGCAAAGTATTTGAGAGCAGAGAGACCTTCAAGATCCACATGACACTCTATGCAATCACTAACAAGTTCCGCTTCCTGACGAAAAAATCTGAACCAGGGAAAATGTTGCTCCAGTGCAGAGGAGCAACGTGTGCGTGGAGAGTATATGCCGCGAAAATGGCAGGGACGGAGAGCTTTCAGATTAGGACATTGAATCTGGCACATACATGCTCATTGGGGGATAGATGGGAATTCCGCCACCATGCAAATGCTAAGTTTGTGGGAGAAATGATAAAACAAAGGTATGGACCAGCTGCAAAAGGGGGGCCAAGACCAGGAGCAATTAGGGACATAATACGACACGACCACGATGTCCCTATTTCCTACTGGAAAGCTTGGAGATCAAGAGAGATAGCTGTTAGTGAAGGTGCGGGGAATGATGCTGGATCATTCCAGACACTGCCTTCATACCTACAGATGGTGTTGACTACTAACCCAGGATCGGTTGTGGCACTGGAAACCACACCCATGGCAGAAGGTGATCAGCGATTTAAATATGTCTTCTTGTCCTACGCGGCAAGCATCCAAGGGTACAGTTATATGAGAAAGGTGATCATCATTGATGGAACACACCTGAAAGGCAAGTATTCAGGGTGTCTTCTAACTGCAAGTGCTCAGGACGGGAACTACCAGATCTTTCCTATAGGTTTTGGGATAGTAGATAGTGAAAAAGATGAAGCTTGGACTTGGTTCTTCCGTCAACTTTCGCAGATTGTACCTGATTCAGAGGCGCTTGTGTTTGTGTCTGATCGCCACAATTCAATCTACTCAGGAATAAGAAGGGTGGGTTATCTTTTAATAAAATCTTCGATATTTGGATTATTATCGGAATATGTGATGCCTTAACGGTTAACAAATGTAGTAATTGTTAAGATGTTTATTAACGAAGGTGGTGGAATAAGGTTTAACGATAAATGTATAACGTAACTGCAGGTCTATCCAATGGCAAAGCACTGCGCTTGTATTCTTCATCTCCAGAGGAATGTCCAGACTATTTTCAAGAAGAAGAACTTACTCTATCTGATTGGACGAGCAGCTAGAGCATATAAGATGGAGGAATTCTATGTCCACTTCAACGAAATAAAGGCAGTGGACATTGCTTGCGCGGACTACCTCATTCGGGTTGGGTTAGAGCACTGGAGTAGGGCGCATTTCGAGGGTGAAAGGTACAACGTAATGACTAGCAACCTAGCTGAGTCACTTAACGCTGCATTGGCAGAAGCAAGAGGGTATCCTATTGTAGCTCTTTTGGAGTATATTAGGACAATGCTGATGGATTGGTTTTCCACCAGACGTGAGGCCGCTAACGCTAACGTTAGCGAGGTAACTCCGAAGGTAACTGCTATGTTGTCTCGTAGCTTTAATTTTGCATCAGGTGCAAATGTCCGGCATATCATCAATGAGGAGTACGAAATACGCGATAACATGGGAGTGTACAATAGGGTTGATCTTGTAAGGAAGACTTGCTCCTGCAAAGAATTTGATAAGCTCCGTATTCCTTGTGTCCATGCTGTCGCTGCTGCTATCAATAGAAACATTAAGATGGAGACTTACTAGCTGAGGAATACACAAACCAGTACTGGGTTAAAGCATACGAAGGAAGCATAAACCATGTTAACATCAACATGGTCACCGCAATTGAGTCACAAAGTATCAACTTGTACCCACCGACGACACGCAGGGCAGCTGGAAGGCCTAGGAAAAGTAGAATTTAATCAGCAGGAGAGATCAAGGTAACATTTTAAAGATTACTTGTTAAGCGTAATAGAAGTTGTTTACCTGTATTCTTGTAGTTAACCG